TATAGAAGATATATATAGAAATAGGGTTTAGTAGGTTCATTCTGTTCATAACCAAAATTTGCACTGCATGTTGCCAAACCTAACAGGCTCCATAACAAAAATCCGGTTTGGATTAAGAGAATCATACATCACCTCAGTATGCGCATGCATTCCTACATTTTTATGTATTCAGCTGGCTGCTCAATCAGGTCAAGCAATCAGGCAAGACGAAAGAATATCCAAGAAACCGAAAAAGATGACGTTGAAATGTCAAATATGATATTAAAGAATAATCTGCTTAATCTAAAATGTGTAACACCAATCATACATGCAAACCTAGTGTTGTCGTGTAACTCAATATGCTTCTTGCCCAAGAGAATCGCCATGAATGTATAATACCAGCCAAACAAAACAAAGAAAACAAACAGGGAAATGCAGCAAAAAATCTGAACTGAAAATGAAAAAGAATAATCCCAATGGGGCCAAAAGTGGGAGTGCCATATACTGTATTGAGAACCTTGCATCTATGTCTGTCCTTCTCTACTGCATCATATACATTGCCGAGCGTGTACACCAATATATCCCTTCCAAGCTCTCTAAGATATAAATTGTCAAAAAATAGTAATAATCGTGCATAATATTAATTGATAGATCATCTGCTAGTTTACAAACAGAAGAATGATTTCTCATGCACAAACGAGCCGTAAAGATTGCTTGTTGAAGAAACTGGGACACGACACCAACATTAAAATTTTCATGTTCCACCAGTTGTGATGAGGCTTACTCTCTCAACTTCTTCGTCAACCAAACTTAGAGCAATAATATATACTTCGTTCGTGCTGCGTTTGGTTGATGCTACTCCAAGACATGGCAATTCCTAATAAAATCATTAGAGTAGTCAACATACTTGGTCCAAAATGGTCTGAGATGCTCGAAACCAATCTCCAACCATGGTTTTGACTGGCCATTGAAGTGAATCACCGCTGCCTTTCTCACGTTTTCGACTTTGGTCTTGTTCTGATACCCCAACCCGAGCAAGTGCCACGTGGGATCAATTGGGTGCACGTGACCCTTAAATGCAATTAAAGCAGGAGGAAGGGTTCCCAGTTTCCATAACGTCAAGTTGGACTTCAGATTCTGGAT